ACAAAAGCGCGGCGCGGGCGTGTTGTTTTGTGTCCTGTAATATTCCCTGCAGGCAGGCGCCGCGTCCTGGGTGCGCCCTGTCTCCTGCCCCCCCCCCCTCCCTTACCCCGCTCGGCGGGACCGTTCAAATTTTTATTCAAATGCAGCGGCTGTCACAATGCAGGCCGCGCGTACGTCCCATTGTGTGTCAGGGGGTGTCCCTTTTGGGCCACGGGGCCAGGCCCCATTGTTATGTGAAGGGCCAAGCCACAGGCCAGGCAGGCCCGGGCCAACCCCGCCCGCCGGCCGCCTGGAACCGCCTGCAGGCCGCCTGGAGCGGGCCTGGAGCGGGCCTGGAGCCGCTAGGGGGCGTATGTGCTGCATTCTCAGAAGCGCCGTGCCTGGAATGCGAATGCGTGAGGCTGTGTGCGAGCACGTGTGTGTGTGTGTGTGTGTGTGTGTGTGTGTCTGTGTCTGTGCGTGTGGTGTGTGTGTGTGCGCGCTTCATTTGCATGTCAACGAACGTTTCCTCTTCCGTTTGATGTCCGAACCGAACGGCAAACAAACTGTTCGCGAGGCACCCCGTGTCAAAACTGATAAAGTGACCGGCCAGCCGAGCGCCGTTGGCCGTTGGGTTCTCGAGCTGCAAGCATATGCCCTGCTGATGATGGTGAAGGTCCCGCGCGAAGCAAGCGCGCGCGAGTGTTGATGCATCGCCTCAGTTTAGTTTAGAAAAGTTTCACGTGATTCTTCGCTCACTCCTTGACGCGTCAAACACCTTCGACCCCTGCATGCCCCCCCCCCCTTTCCTCCACCTGCTCTGCCGCTGCAATTTGCCCGCGAGCTGCGCGCCAATACCAATAATAAAGATGCATCACAATTCCTCTCCGCCGTTGCCCTCCATTTTACCTTGTTTTTTCCCCTCTCTTCCTTCGCTCCTTTTTCTCTCCCTCTCATCAAATATTCCCCTCGCACCCTCCGCCCCTCTCTCCCCGCTCTCGGATGAGGTGTGTCAATTTGTCACGCTCGTATAGCTCGGCCGTGGTAACAAGCGCAGCGGGCGCCGCCGCCGCGCCGCGCAGTGCCCCGCTGGCGCTGCAGCCCATCCGCTCTAGCTCCGCGATGCCCGTCCCAAGGCCCTGAGCAAGAGCTTGGGCGGCAGCTTGAGTAAAGTTTAGAGTAGAGTCTTCAGTAGGGTCTTTCAGCACCGTTGAGTACTGTAGGGTCTTGAGTACTCTATAGACGAGCACTGTTGAGTCTCGAGTATTGTAGGGTCTAAGATCTTGGAATAGGATCTGGAGCGGGAACGGGAGCTTTGAGCGTCAGCTTGAGTATAGCCTTGAGTTGGGTCCGTGGGTCTGAAGGACTGCAGAGTCTTGAGTACTGTAGGGTCTTGAGTACAGGTATACTAGGGTCTGGAGGACTGTACAGCCTCCAGTGCTGTAGGATCTATAGGGTGTTGGAGTAGGGTCTTGAGCGGGAGCTCTGTGGAGCGGAGGCGCGACATGGTGGCGGCGGCGGCGACACGGCGGCGGCGACACGGCGGCGCTGCAAACCGGACGGAAAACAGCAAAATTAACAAGCGAAACCCTTCCTCTCCGCGGCGCGATGAGCCGTGCCGTTCCCTTCGATGATCCTTGACGATCCTAGCGGGACGCGCCGGGACACGGGCCGTGCTATGGCCGCGACCAGGACGGCAGGGAAGGACCGCGGAGCGAGGAAAAGGGGGGGGGGGGGATATTGGCCGGCATGTAGGGTCTATCTGTTGTGAGGAGGGAAAGAAAAAGCAAGGGAGGGTATGGAAATGCATGCACCGCTGCGAAAGACGTGTTCAAAATGGGGCATACACTACTTCTGAGGTGTCCAGCTGGCAGACACCTTTGGATGAGCGCCTTGTCCTGTGCATGTAACTATGATCTAGGCAGGCAGTGAACTAGGCCAAATCAATGTGCGGTTTCAACATGGGTTCGCGTTTATTCCACGTGATTTAACATATTGTAGACTCAACGTGACGTTCACCAAAATTTTTTTATGGGGTGGACACCTCCTGTGTCTCGGTATAGACCTAGCTCTTCCTTGTTCATATGATCACTGGATAAACAGAGGTGCTATATAGCACCCTTTATAGGGTGCAACTGAATTTTTAGGTGTGCTAGTGCTACTGCACTAGTGCCATTGTAGAGGTACAATTTGTGCCAGTAGCACCTTTCTAGAGGCACTATTTCACCCACGTCTTTAAAAGACATTAGATAGCACCTTTGTTTTGCCATTGATGTCTAGGCATCCTAGATTTGCAGTGTAGGCACTCCCGCTCTGCTCGCCGTCCGCCTGCCTGCCTGGCGCGTGCATGAGGGGATGTGAGCGGCAGCAAAGCGGGGTGATTAAATAGAAAACGGTGGATGCAGACAATTTTCTAGGCATTTCCTCGAGCAGCTAGCAGGTTCCCTATACCGGGGGTTGCGGTGCGTCCGGCACCTCGGGCACGCCAGTTTCACCCGCATTTTTGACGCATGATCTCGTGAAATTCGGCGGCCACGTGATGAAGGCGGGCGCGCGTGTGAGCCTGAGCTAGCCCGGCGAGCGAGGCCCGGCCCGGCCCGCTTCGGATTTCGCGTGTCGAACTAGAGCCGGCTGAAGCGGCATTCCCTGTAGGAAAGCGGAGGAACTCTACACGCCAACGTTCTGGAACATTTTCCCCATCACCTCTGACTTTTCACAGATAGCGCGTATGTTGAACTCGTGGTGACCATATATTTCATGTTATGTCATAAAAACGAATAAAATGGTCATACACCAAATAACCTTTTCGCCACTTATTTAATTTCATTTAAAGATATACAAATACAACCCCTTCACAACGTATTTAAAAAAAAACAAACATAAGTTACTATTTATTTTTATTTATTTTTTGTTGCTGTGGGGCCGTTGTCAAGTGCGTGACCACGAAGGAGGTTTGGGCCAGGCGAGGCCAGGCAGGCAGCCGGAGCCGCTCCGCATTGGCTGCCTCTTATTATCCGGGGCCATTCGCTCCAATCAGATTTTCGATTAATTCTGTTTGCGGGCCGCCGGCCGGTGGGCCTGGGCATCGGCCTGGGCCGGGCCGGGCTGGCCCTATCGGTAGCACGACTCGAATCACATTTCAGCCCGTGCAGTACACGGGGCCGGGGTGAGGTGAGTCGGCTGGGTATGTTGCTGAGGTGAGCTGGGTGAGCCTAGCAGCGGCCCGCGGGGCCAGCCCAAGCGAGGGGGTCACCTCAAAAAAATCATGAACACAAAAATACAAGAAAATTAAATTTATATAACTCTTCAAAAGTCCATCGATGATCGATGTATCGCTCGGGAATTTTTCAAGGATGATGCAAGTACGAGATGTACGCTACACTGGAAAAACTAGTTAAAAGGGTTTAAAGCGTTTACTAACAATGGATCAAACCCCCAATGCATTTACGATGTCGTTAAATTCACTGTTGTCCTACTCCCCTCCAAAAGTGCGATTCAGCACCTTTGTTTTTCCAGTGTAATCGTACTCAAAAATACACGAGTTGCCTCC